TGAAACAACAAGAAATCCATCATAAGGAATTTCTTTCAAAAAAGGTATTAGTTTTCACAATTTTATTTTGTTAAGTTCATTATACAAACAGATTTTTGACGTGAGTGGCTGTACTTCCACCACTTATGTTGATCATATATGCTAATCTTTTGTCTTTTTCCCAGGGAAGACAAGATTACAAAAATGACAGAGAATAATAGCATAGTAGCACAGTAGCATAATAGCGTAATGCTAAGTCCTGGAAGATACAGGGAGAAGAAATGGAAGCAGTCATACCACCACAAAGGAAGAAAAACAACCCTGAGACTTCAGACTACAAGGGACAGAATGAGCAATTCCAAGACATCCAGGTAGATAAAGCAGGACAGAAGCAGAAAGGTGGAGCGGAGGAAAGTTTCACCAAATTCTGTGAGCAAATCCTCAGCGTTTCTTAGGCTAGAGGCAGAGCCACGCCGGCAGCCTAGCAGCAGCATTGCTTCTGGCAGCAGCACTTCCGCTGGCAGCAGCACTTCTGCTGGCAGCATCCCTTCTGCTGGCAACAGCCCTTCCCACAGCCGCAGCCACAGGAACTGCAGGTGCGGCGGCAGCAGCAGATCACGGGCGTGCTGCAGCAGCCCCCACAGCAGCCACGGCAGCAGGGGCAGCAGCTGGAGCAGCAGCCCACCCGGTAACACCTGCAGGTGGTGCAGCTGCCACAGCCACCACCATAGCCACCACCACAGCCACCACCACAGCCACCACAGCCGCCACCGCAGCCACCACAGCCACCACCGCAGCCACCATAGCCACCACAGCCACCACAGCCACCACAGCCACCACCACAGCCACCACAACCACAGCAACCCATGGTGTCAGTAGAGAGGACTCAGATGAAGTGATGAGGGAGGACTCAGGAGAAGTAAGGAGGACTGATGCTTTTTGCTTCAGGGGCTCTTATATACCTCTTTCAGGCCTAACATGTGGCAGGTGGTCACTTCCTTGTTTCCTCCAGCTTCCCTGGAGGAATTTCACAAGACCCTGAGTGTATTTCCTTATTGAACACCTCTGACATCATAGAATTGCTTATTTTTGAGACCCAGACTAGAGTGCAATGGCGTGATCTCCCCTCACCGCAACCTCCACCCCCTGGGTTCAAACAATTCTCCTGCCTCAGCCTCCTGAGTAGCTGGAATTACAGGCACATGCCTCCATGCCTGGCTAACTTTTTTGTATTTTTAGTAGAGGCAGGGTTTCACCATGTTGGTCAGGCTGTTGTCAATCTCCTTACCTCTTGATCCGCCCACCTCGGCCTCCCAAAGTGCTGGGATTACAGGCGTGAGCCACTGTACCCAGACTAGTTTTGTTTTAACCTAGCAGTTTTGAAGTGTGATCTATGAATCTCATTTGATGAAAGCCCATCTCCTACCTTCCATGCATCAGGATCCCTCGGCCTGGAGAGGATCTTTCCCTTGGTTTTCCCTTCCTCTAAAGGAAGTGTTTTCTGTCTTCAGGTGCTATCTGTGGAATGCAAGAGCAGGTGATATCTCACATGAAGAAGCAAAGCACTCAAAGCTTCACATGCCAAAAGGTCCCTTGGCTAACATCTCAGAAGGCTTTCTCATCTGTTTTCAGACTTACTTTTGCTATTGACTCACAAGTCAAAATATGGGAAAGATATCCATCTGGAGTTGATTGTTGCAATGTATTTTTAAGTGAGCTTCCCACACTGGCTCATGTTTCCCACTCTTATCCTATACTCATGGAGTAGTGGTTGAGGTAGCCAAGAGCCTCTGCCACCAGCCGGTTTTGTGTCCCTAAAAAAGCCATGGTCCCTATGTGACCCAGCTTCCTTAGCTTAGAGTAAATCATGTGTAATCTTTTAAAAGACTTTATTTTTTAGAGCAATTTTAGGTTGACCTCAAAATTGAGCTGAGGGCTGGGCGCAGTGGCTCATGCCTGTAATCCCAGAACTTTGGGAGGCTGACGCAGATGGATCACTTGAGGTCAGGAGTTTGAGACTAGCCAGGTCAACATGGTGAAAACCTGGCTCTACTAAACAATACAAAAATTAGCCAGCATGGTGGTGGGGTAGTCCCAGCTACTCAGAAGGCGGAGGCAAGAGAATTGCTTGCAACTGGGAGGTGAAGGTCGCAATGAGCCTTGATCCACTGCACTCCAGCCTGGGTGGCAGAGTGAGATCGAGTCTCAATAAAATAAAATAATATCTGAGCCAAAGGTACAGAGTTCCCATATACCACCGTCCTCCCCAACACAACATCCTTCACTACTGACATTCCATGCCAAGGTGGTACATTTGTTACAACTGGTGAACCTATAGTGACACATCATAATCACCCAAAGTCCATGGTTTTCATCAAGGTTCACTCTTGTCTTCTTTCATTACCCTGGGTACTTAGCCCCTTCAGAATCATATATCTGGCTGGATGTGGTGGCTCATGCCTGTAATCCCAGCACTTTGGGAGGCTAAGGCAGGTGGATCACCTGAGCCAACATGGTGAAACCTTGTCTCTACTAAAAATACTGTAGTCTCTACTAAAAACGGCTGTAGTCTCAGCTATGAAGGAGGCTGAGGCACGAGAATTGCTTGAACCTGGGAGGCAGAGGTTCAACAGCCTGGGCAACAGAGGGAGACTTGGTCTCAAAGAAGAAAAAAAAGAATCATATGTCCTAGGAATTGTCTCCAAAAAATTAAAGAACAGAAGAACTCATGTAAAGTCCTTTTGCAGGCTTCAAAGGCTATTCCTAAACTTGCATCCTTTTCCGGAGTGCTGTG